AAGTACAGAAGCCCAATGTGTGTGGAGTCCTTTGCAGTTCTCTAAACATAGCAGTGCAAGCAGCCACGCTTATGCCTGTTGTAAGAATTCAGATGCAGGCAGTTCTGGGCCTGGAATCAAGTTTGAATCTGAGCCCAGACTCTCTGCTTCACTGAGCATCTGCTCAGCCAGGGTGGGGAGGAGATAGCTTTGGGAAAGTAGTTACTGCTCCATGATTGTCAGGAAGGGAAAACAAAACTACCCATAGCTACAGGAAGGGCTGATCTAACCTGTAGCAGCTGAGCATGGTCACAGTGCAGCAGGTTCAAGCCAGGCCCTTACACTGCCTCTCCTCTCTCTGGCACACCTTCACTGGGGCTGAAGAGCCCCTGCCAGCTAAGAGGTGCCCCATGCTGAAGAGTTTTGTCAGCTGACAAGACTGGGCTGCTTTCCAATCCCTTGAATGTATCAAATTGGTGCTATTTGTAGATCCAGTTGGGCTCCGCTCAGGTAAATATTCTTTTCATCTTGATCCAGCAGCTGGCCCTACTATTGGCACACCAAGAAAAATACCGCTCACAGAATGAAATTGCTTCCAGTGGGAATTAGATCCCATGGGAAAAGGACTGTCACTACAGGGCTCAGAATTACTACTTGGGTTAATTTACCAGCCAGAGGAAAATCCTGAAGAGGAAAACACAGGCTGTGTAGTCAAAGCTATAGGTGAGCAATACAATGTCTACCTCATGCCAAACTTTGAAAGCAATGGGCCACCTCCTCAGCTGGTGTAAGTCAGCATAGGTCCACTAAGGATTTGACATGTGACATTATGCTCACTAGGTCTCATTCATTCAAAATACCTAGATGCCAAGCCACTGTATTAGGCACCATCTAAAGAGTCATCATGATTTTTTTCAATAGATTTTGACTAGTACAAATTCCTTTGCCCATGTTTTGACAATGCCATAGCATAAGATGAATTTCCAGACCAGACTGATGAGGCACTTGGAAGACTCAACAGAGCCGCAGTCACTGTTCATGCCATCTGAGTGTTTGGGGAGTTGAAGGAGCTGCTAAGATCACATGCCAAAG